ATTCTTCATCTCGCTCAAGATCCTGGACATGATGTACCGAGCCGTCATCTTCTGGGTAAACCTGGCTTTGCGTCTGGTTTTCTGGGGCGGGATTCTCGTTGTGGGCTTCTGGGTATACAACAGGGGGCCTGAGGGCTTTGTGGAAGATGTGCAAGGCTTGGTCGAGTACTGGCTGGGACAGTATGAGATGTACAGTCAAGAGGTCAAGGGATTCCAACAGCAGAAGGAGGATCAAATCAGGATGAAAGCGAGTGCGCAACAGCAGCAGAAGAGAAGGGGGTGGCGGTAAAGATGGTGTAGAATGGACTGCAGAGCATGTATCTACAAAGAGACTGGATTCGGATATTGGTCAATATTTCGACTCCTTTCTACATATATGGTTATGGCGCATGGGTATGTTGAAAAGTATAGGACTGGCTCTGGCATCTGTTGGCCTCGCACTCACCGTTGGACTGTTTGGGACAACAAGTTGTATATGTTTGAGCTTCACGAATAATGGTATCCATGATAGTATTCCTTACTTGATCCCAAAACTGTGCCATACTGCGCTACCAATGGTACTATTTAGTACGCATAAAAACACGCGGAATCACACGGACAAGGACAGTCGCGGTCTATCGACCGATGGCTACGTCTCACATCTCCCACGCGAGATATTACGAATGATCTTTGACTTTGTATTTGTCTAATCGTAAGCATACCCCGTCAACTCTGTCCATTGAAACTCAAGAAGAACGGCATCCCCACCATCGTCGTCAACATGCACTCCGCTGTCACCACACTCCGCTACACTGGTTCCTTTCCATAAAGTGTGATCAAATCATTGCTCGACTTCGATGGAGATATCACCATTCTTGACCTACGATCAAATTGTGCAAGGGCACAAAGTTCCACATGATTTTCCTAGATGACTTGTCCAAGACGAGGTGTTTGGAAGGGCATATCCTATGTAGCAGTGCATTAAGACTTGTCGTAGTGAGTTGAAGACACAAGGCCTTGGTGCCCAAGCCAAGCAACCAATGACGTCGCAAAGTCCCCGCAGACCTCCATCAACGCGTTCCCAACTATCAATGTTCCACACGCGCAACGCAACACAAGCCTACATTCTCGCATCCTATGCAAATTTAACATTACCACCATATTTAAACATGGCTGCAACATCCACCTATCCTGCCTCAACGCCCACACCAACACCCTCCACAGCGACCACCCTCACGAACCCGAGCTTTGTGTTCCCACCTCAATACTCCTTCCCACCCTTCTTCACCCTCCAGCCCGTTGCCAGCACACGCTCCTCACAACTGGCTTCCTGGTCCATCCTCATCCAGTCCTACTGCCGCCACAACCGCATCTTTACCATCTCCCTCATCGATGCGCTCCCAACCCCTCTCTTCACAAACGCGACCCTTCGCAGGAGCCTCTCCCTCCGCGATGCAAAAGCCATCCTCACATACATGGCCTCACCCGAAGGCGGAAACCGCGCTGAATTCATAAGTACAAGCTCGTCTAAGAAGGGAATAAAGCCGGGAGAAGAGGGTGAAGGAGGCAAGGCGTGGATATATTGGCGGAGACCTGAGGAGTGGGCTGCGGCGTTGGAGGAATGGGTGGAGAGGGCGGGACAAAAGGGCACGGTACTCACGTTGTACGAGATTGTCGAAGGGGACGTGAGCCGTAGGGAAGAGTTTTATGGAATGGATATGGACCTGTTGCAAAAGAGTTTGGGGGTTTGCGTGAAGAGGGGGAAGGCGCAGGTTTTTGGGTCTGGAGGTGAGGGAGAGGGTGTCAAATTCTTCTAGGACATGTCTTTGCGTGGCTGCTGGATTGACGAGGCGTGTCATATGTCAGCAAGGAAGACGCGGCAAAGAATGAGGGGTGTGGAGATGAGGACATGGCGTTGAATGATACCCAATCGTGTTTTGGACATGGTACTATAAGGCATAGGCTAGAGCTTACACTGCAATAGATTTCAAAAAAACACTCTGAGATATCCGAGAAACCGGAAAATCTCAGCTACTATACTCATCCATTCCCAATTTAGGCTTACAGTGTCCTTATACAACCACCTATGTAACACCAGCGGTTTCCGACACGCATCTGTCAAAGCAAACGTCGGCTCTCTCCCCCATCAGCGGCATCTAGCCACACCCTCACCCACTTGGCTGTCATATCATTCTCACATTTATCCAGCTAGATTAGTACGTCGGGCCTAATGCTTTCTGTCTCAAAGACGCTAGATTAAGTAGAACAAACCCGAGTTATCTCATCTAAGAGGTATTTCCTTAGGCACGTCGCGTAGTAGTATTTCAGTTCTGTTTTGTATACTTCCGAGGTGGTGTTCGTGGTATTTCTAGGAGGAGCGGCGCGGACAAATTCTCCGAGAAACTGGGGTAGCTTGACAGCGGCGTAGGCAGCAAGCATGGTTACGCGTTTCCAGTCTGCTATTGAGACTAGACCACCTCCAGCAACGACTAGTATGTTTGAGATGCTTATGTCGCAGTTACAAAGGGTCGTGTGTTCTGCTAAAGTGCTGTCGTCTGGAAAGAGCCACGGAATTACAGTTTCTAGGCTGGAGCATACGGCTTGAATATTGCAGTGATGCTCTGTGTCGTCATCATCCTCTTGATCGAAATGGTGTACGAAGTGCTTGAGGTTTTGGTGACGAGCGGAGAAGTACTCGTGACTAAGAAAATGTCGTCGTTTTTGAAGAATGCAGGTTGAACGATCTCGCCCACAGTATATATGGAGTATGAATCAGCATAGGGATGAGACTTGTTGACGAGCGTCAGACTGCAATGTCTGAAAGCTCGATATTGAAGGATTGTAACATGTATCCTACATCTTCCTGAATTAGTAAGCCCTCCTCCATCATGACAATACATGCCAGGTTCCGTGTAATGGTGTGCATCCGCCCATTCTATCAGAGTCCACTCAAAACCCAGCTCATTTGAGGGATCTGCATCGTGTGCAACGATTCGCGGTACTAGGACTTCAGTTTTGTCCCGAACGAATGCCTAAGTGGCGACTTCACTGTTGATCCTAACGGCTGGTGCGACCGGCAGGCTAACGCGGAAGATAACGAGGCACTTGGTGCATTCAATAGCGAAAAGCTTGCTAGAGGCGCCCTCTGCAAAGATTTCCACGATGCCAAGGTTATTTCTAGGTGACGTAGTAGCTCGCATGCTTTGGCGTATCACGATAGAAGTTCATGGCGTTTCACTCTTACAGTATGGGTAGGTCGTGCCCAGGTAGACGTTGATGTAGTACCTGACTACGTAGGGTTGGCGACGCGTAGGTGATCGAGTAGAACGGTTTTGTATAGACTGAGCTCCGGCAGTTGAGTTTGCCTGGATCGCATTGACCACATCCCAGCAAGGCCTGTAGTTCAAACAGGCAACGTCAGATGCCCCGAGCCTGAGAGTTCTGGATACCATGACGCCGCAGAGTATTACAAATCGCGATTGGGAACAAGGAAACCATGTAGAATGACATGATGACGGATTGGGTGATGATGGAGAGATGATTGAAGGCCTGGACTCTAGAAGTGTATACCCACATAGGTCTTTGAGGAATGAAATGTAGTAAATAACGAAGACAGAGTCTCAGTCGAAGGCCAAGGGAGACGAACGGATGTAGTTTGGAGATGCTTACGGCCTGTTGTACGACCCCAGGAATGGCATGTTCAGAGTAAAAGTCAGCCCTCAATGTTGGTGCCGATGAAATCCACGAGATGCAACGTGCATCTCCACATGGTGGGCTGGGTACTAAGGATTGAACAGGATGTGGATGCAGATCGGGGCAGAGATCGTCGCAGGCTCGTTGCTCACAAACAATGGTTCAGGGAGGGGAGCGGGCCGCTAGCTAGTCTGGAGAGGGAAAGGGCCGAGGGTCAACGGGCGTTGCGCAGAAGAAGTGCAGTAAACAGAAGCACGGAAGACGCTAAGGACGAGGCTGGAGGATCTGCAAGCTCCATGCGCGGTTCGAAACGCGCATAACCACGTCGCATGGACGAAGCGATGGTAGTACTGAGGTGGGACAATCTCAGGCACAAGCTCGACGTTATGCGCTGCAACATAGCAAGGCCAGCCGAAGCGGACCGGTTGCACGGTGAAGGCAGTAGTTGTATATTGAAACAGCGGACTAGTACATGAGGAGGGCTAGCGCATGCAGTCAGACGCTATACCGCATACGCAGTGCTGCAAGCCAGCAAAAGGCCCAGGTGGAGAGCTGCGAGCTCCCGTCGACACGTTGCACACAGTGGGTATGCAGTGGATATGCAGTGGGTCGGTGATGAGGATGGTGTATAGCATGACAGTGTTAACCCTCATCCCTCGACCAGCTGGAGTCGTAATCCGCAGCCAGGAACCTGAGACGAAAAGCATCGGAGAGATAATTTTAGGCCAGGTACAGACTTCGCGCTCATTTCCCGCCGGCAGGGTCGGGCCAATCAACGCCTAGGCAGAGCTGACCCTGGCGCCCAAGGAAGGAGCTAGCCGACACGGTAGCTTCGCTGTTCGTGCGTGTTGACCATCCCCCAAGGCTCAAGCGTGTGCCTTCCTCTCTCCACTGTAGAAACCCATCGCAGCTTCCCTACCCAGTACGCTCTTTCTGCCGCTGCGAGCCAGGCTCTCTCCTTCCTTTCTTAGACCGGCACGCAATCGATACGGTCTCTATTTTCTAATACTCTTGCGTCGACGACAACTACATAGATATACACCGCCCGACGCCCTATCTACATGTCGCGAATGGACTTTTGAAGCTGCGCGTCTCCTACTGGCCCGTCATCGTCGACAACTTTACTCCACCACGGCCACATCCTAGGACTAGAATTATCGACAAGTCATACAGCTTCTACGCGTACCAATATCATCAGCATGCGCCCGTGCCTGTGCTGCGACAATGCTCGCGCTACCACCTCCTGTTCCCAAAAGCAATCACGTTCTGGCACAAAAAGGGCTCTCGTCTTTGCAGTTGTTGCTGCTGCTGCCTCTGTACCACAAACCATGGCCCAGCAAAGTTGCGTATCGCTCCGGGGCTCGACAGCCTGTCCGGCCTTCAGTTCTGCATCCGTCGATACAAATTTGACCGGCAACTTGTACGTCCAACGTGACTGGATATATCGAGTGGTGACTAACCTTGGTTGCAAACAGTCCTTTCCTCCAATACGTGTCTGACACCCAGTCGTTCGACGAAGGTTTGGTCAACTACATTGGCACCGGATACGCGCAGCGGCAGTTAGTCTAGTCCTAGTCGTGCCACACGACTACTCAATGCCACCAGTAGACTAACACACCTCAGGTACGAAGACATATTGGGATGCTCAAGCGTCAACCTCACTAGCACCACCAATCTCTATGCTCGTTACACAAGAACAGTCCTCTGTAACCTCATCATCCAATCTTCTAGGACTGTATGCGGACTCAGCGACACGGACGCAACTCCGCTCTGCGCAGGTGCTTGCGTACGTGACTATCTCCCCGAAATTACACCGTATTGTAAGGCTGACAAACGCAGGCCGATTTTGCTATCAGCGAACAAGTAATCGTATCAAGCCCGGACCTGTGCGGTACACCTGGTAACAATGCAGTTCCGGAAATTCGTTCCGACTTCGCTCGCTGCTCCAACCCTGCCAGCTCGCTCAGCAGTAACTGCATCGATGCAACCAAAAACGAGCCCGACGAATGTGGATACCAAGGTAACCTCCAGGGATTGTGCCTCTTCTGTGGCTCAAGTACCGTCAACTCCACAGATTCTTGCTGCGTCAATGCGAACGTCGAGTCGCGCTGCGTAGGTGTCGATCTGCCCACAACTGTTTCGATGCCTCCAGTATTCCCCTCGAGCACTTCATCTGGATCTCCAAGCTCCACAGCAGGCGCAGGATCTGGGGGACGCGATTCCGGTTCTGGTCTTTCTGGAGGTGCCATTGCTGGCATCGTTATAGGATCACTCATCGGCGCCGCCCTAATCATTGCAGCTATTGTCTTCTGCTGCATGCGAAGGCGGCACCAAAAGAATAGCCAGGCTGGTAGCGTCTTCAACACGCCATCCCCTTCGCGACACCAATCACCCAAGGCGGGCATTATTCCACCCATGAGCTATGGGGGCGATGGTCAAACGCCCGCTACTATCCTCCCAGGCGCCCGTGTTCAACGTATGTCGGCCTTGGAAGGATCGTCATCCTCAGGCCCCAGTGATCGAGGCGGTCGTATGACTGCATACGGTGGCTCTCAACTTGGTCCCTATGATTCACCCGAATCCATCCGTGGCCATCTTGCTGGTAACCTCCCTAAACGACAAGGTTCTTTATCGAGCCACTCCGCTCTAGGAGCAAGCTCGTCGCCACTCTCTGGATCTGATCAGACGCGTAACTTCTCGAGTCCAGATGGTGTCGCTTCCGGCCAGTCTGAGCAGTTGCAATTTTTCAAAGACTACTACTCTCAGGACGATATCCATCCGAACGATACTGTCGCCACTCTCTGGGCCTACCAACCTCGTGCCGGCGACGAGTTCGAACTCGAAAGAGGAGATATGCTCAAGGTTGTCGGTATATGGGATGATGGTTGGGCGACAGGTGTAAGACTTTCCGAGACGGCAGAGCAGTGGGAGGCACGAAAGGCCGAGCAACGCGACTCGGGTGTAAGCAACGGAGGCCGACGGTCACCCGTTGAATCTGACAACGAGATCAAGGCTTTCCCTCTGGTCTGCGTGTGCTTGCCACAGCACTGGAGGAAGACCATCGAAGGCGACAGCACAGACTCTGGCGGACATGGGAGTGGAGGTGACCGCATACCTCCAAGCCCTTAAGATGTCTTGAAGGCCTGGTCTGTTAACGCTCCCTAGTTGCTTCCTCGCCATCCCCTACCTCAGATCGCCCGCCGCCTTACATACGGTACGGCAAGAGCAAGAGTTGTGTCGCATCCGCACCACCTTCTTCTTCGGTAACACGGCCACTACTCGCGAGCACACCAGACGTCCACTCCCTAGGGTCGAGTACCCTCATCAGCTCCGAATCTGTCCACAAATAGTAATGTCGCCACGATGATGTTTTTTTACGCGTTGTTTGTTTTTTCGACTTTGGTTCTTGGGTCTTCCGATGATCGGTCCTCCCTACCCCTCCAGGGGTCCTCGTCCCCCGAGCCCTTCGGACTATCGACACGTCACGACCTCTAGAACCCTTCTGCTATTTCACGATCTGCGCGAACCATAGACTGCCTTCGGGCCTAGTGTCTAATACGCTCCTTCACCGCCTGATTGCGCAACCTCGCGCAAAATACCCTTCGACGTCCCAGTAATCACGCCACACGCACACACCCTGGTACACACGACCCTGACATACCTCCGGCTGATTGACTTTGTCTGTTCTATACCCCGCCGCATTACCCATGCGACGCAGCCTTTTCTTTCTTGTTGACTGTTTTTGAGCGAGAGAGCGATGGAAGTGATATTGTATATATGACCTTGCTTCCATGCTACTCGAGGAAAAAAGGTTAATGCTCTATCTTGATTACATTTCTACGATATCCCGCCTGTTGAGTAGAAGGGGGTTTTGTTGAGTCGGATGGCGGCTTTGCTGTTTGGATAGTGAGGAGAGAGATGGAGTTGGTGGAGATGGTTGCTTGCGTTTGAATAACTAGGTACGGCAATGGAAACTACGGAATATATGACTTTAGTCCTCCAGGTAGTGAGTGCTACGTGCAGTGTTCACCATGGCAAGCATCTTGCCACAGTTCAGTTCGACCTGTCACCAGAGTACTAGAACACCAACATTCATGACTCATCGTCCTTAATGGCTCGGCTTATTCCTCAGATCTATTCATCCTGAAATACTCAAGCGCCGCCACACCCCTTTCCCCTTCTTTTCTCAAATCCAAGATATCGGTACTCTGTCTAAATTTGTCTGCCCTGAAACACGCATCGCTGTCACTATACCAGGCATACACCTATAGCATAAATCCCCGTCATCCCGGTTCCAAACCGTTTCTTCGCTTCCAAATTTCCGAGGATGCACTAGCCCACGCATGTTGTATGATCTTCACGTAGCTGGTATGGTAGTACTAACAGCGCAGGCTTATGCCGCTATATTTGAGCGGCGTTGTGGCAAACATGAAGTTGAGCAAGATAATGGTTGGTAGATAATTGTTATATATACTGGTATCATGCTTATCCTAATGCTGTTCATGATAGTACCCTAAAGGGAGTGTTCGTCGGCAATCCGTAAATTCGTGTCCAAACATGACGTTCTCATAAACGCGTCACAAAAGAGTTGCCCAAAGGCACCACGCCTCACTTTCGGTGTCATCTGTTCACCGAAGTGTGTCATCTACGCTCTGCCCTTCCTCCTACCGGCCTTTCCTAGGCCACCATCTTCGTTTCGCTTATGCCAGTCGTCGATCTCACGCCGTACACCTTCACGGTAGGACTTGTACTCTTCGCTGGTTTCTACCAGGAGTTGTGGGCAGTGGCTCGAACGACGCAAGTGCCGCTTCAAGTTCTCCCAGCGGCAGTCGGGCTTGAATGTGCAGTTTGGGTGGGGACATCTGTATGGTCGTAGCGTCTGTAGGTATCGTTAGTAAAAGTAGTTCTAGTGTTGTTAATCTATGCTTACTTGGTGTGTCCTCTCATGCTTGCTCAAATTACTCGAGTCGGCGCATGTAAACTCGCAGAATCGACATTTATGCGGCTTCTTACCCTCGTGCAGCGCACTGATGTGTGTTTGTAGTTGTGTATGTGTCGTTGTTGTGTAACCGCAACGGTCACATACATATGGCCTCTCGCCTGTGTGTGTTCTCTCGTGGTTGTCCTTCGCTTGGTTGGTGGCAAACGTCTTCTCGCATCCCTCATAGCTGCAAGCATATGGGCGATAACCCGCGTGACCAAGAAGGTGACGAGACAGCTTAGAGCGCTGCTTGAAATCTTTAGAGTGTGCTTCGCAACCTTCCCATTGACAGAAGCAGTGTGTGCAGTTGTCTACGTGTCCGGTCTTGATATGTCTGTGAAGGGCTTCGGGGGCGTCGAAGACGGCGAGGCAGAGGACACCGGGTGCATGTTGCCTGAGAGGTGTCAATTAGCTTACAGTCCTCATACAATCGCAAAGGCTTCATAGATTGAGATGATCTTCGCAGTAAAGGGTTGCTCCAGACCGACGTACCATTTACATATACACGCCTGAGCTTCAGTTTGAGCTCTAGCGGCAGAAGCCGAGCTCGAAACTGTCAAATCCGATGTGCTTGGCCGCAAGATCTCGCTCTGGACCGCCGAAGCGAGGAAGTCGAGTTTGTTTGCACCAGTGAATGAGCTTGCTGGTTGAAAAGTGTTCGAGAACGCCGAATCTGTCAGCATCCACGACTGATCGTGGAATGTCTGGTCGTTAAAGTCCATCATGGGAGAGTTCAGGCTGAACGGGTTCGACGAGTGTAGAGAGTTACGATCGGCTGAAACAGGGCTCGTTGGTAGGCTTGGATTGAAGCCAAAGTTCATAAAATTTGACGCCAAACCGTTGCCTGGTGCTATTGAAGAGTTCCAAAGCTCAAGCTGTTGTTGCGACGCAGACGGGGCATCACCACAGGCTCTTTGAGATCCATGACAACACGAGTTATCGATGTGACAGTGATCACCGGCGACGTCGAGGTAACAGTGTGGTGGGAAGATCGTTTGTCCAGGCCCCGGTGACGGCTCAGTGGTGAATGCACTTTCTAGCGATGTGTAGTTGCTGTGCGACAAAGCTGGTGTTGGAGCGCTTGACGCTATCGTGGTCAGGTCATCCGCGATGGTATTGTACCCGTGAGTTTGGGAGAAGCAAGGATATGTCTCAAACGAAGACAACCCATCATCTTGTCCATGAAAGCCTTCTTGAAAATGGCAAGGCGCAGAGTCGTAACAGTACACAGTACCGACGGAGGTAGGAGCGGAATGAGCGAAGTGACACTCGTGCTGCGTGCCAGGCAGAGCGAAGGGTTGAGCGTTGCACTTCTGACAGCAGCATACCTGATCTGGACAAGCGATCTTTGTACACTGGGGATCTATACAGTCGTCTGTACAATGTTCATCTTTCTGAGTACACCGTGGGTCGAAACAAGCGTCGTCTTCGGGGCAGTCTGCGGGGCAGACATCGGGACAGTTGTCGTCAGGGCAAGGGGCTGGTGGACAGGATGGCTCCAGATTGCATTCCTGACAGAATTTCTCGAAGCAGTCATCTGGAAAAGAACAATCCGTATCAAGACCGGTGTGTGATTCGGTGGTGAGTTCGTGATACTCGGCCACCTTTAGGGCGGAGGCCCTCCGCTTAGTTGAACGCACGTCGCATGTTTCTGGGCAGCGAGTGCAACACAAGCTTGGATCAACGGGTTGAGTACCATGTTCAAGCTGAGACGGGGTTGATTGGCCCCGGGTTCGTGCGGCGTCATCTTTCAGATTGTCTGCAGCACGCTTGGTCCCAGTCACTGGTGCGCCCAAAGAAAACATCGGATTTGTAGTCCAGAAGTCGTCGTCGTCTCCAAAAGCTGAATCGCGATCGCAATCTGCACAGTTATTAGCCATTTTTGCGTGCTTTGAGAGTTTCAGAGCGTGTGTTCCTGACGATATCGAAAAGTCAAGGCGGAGGCCATCACGGTTCTCAGACGTGGGAAAGCACGATGGCGTAATCAGAATGCCAGGTAAGGTGCGAGGGGTGAGTGAAAAGAAAAACATACAATCAATCATGCCTTTGAGGGGTCTACCCTGACAACTCTACAACATCAACCACGAGTGAAAGGAACGAACTGGCTGAGAAGGTGAATGTATGCGCTTGAGAAGAGTGAATGGAGCCTAACCAAATGCGTAAAAGCGTATGTCCAACTCCTGCTCCCTGATTGGCCTTTCGCTCCAAGTCACGGCTGTCATGTGTATCGTCCTTGTTCCGAATCCTGGCGTCCCCGGATACAGACAACAAGGCTATGAATGACTGCGAGGCGTTGTTGTTAATGTCTGGTAGTATTCCGACTTGTATCGGCGTACGTGCGGCCACTCATACACCGGCGTCGTTGTGTGCAATCGGCCAAAGAAGCCTCCATCCACGGGATACGGAAGAACTCATTGCGCTACCGCTCTAGTGTACCCACCTACGGAGTGCTTGACGTTTGTGGTCATCGTCATGTGTAGCCGTCACAAACGCGACGGGATTGTAGAGAAGATATCAGAGAAGCTAAAAAGCTGCAGTGTTTGACGCACAGTTGCACCCTGCCTGAAGATGCCGTAGCCGGTATCCGAGAGACGGGTACTTGGCGCCAATCCCACGCGTCGCAATGCACCTTCCCCGCCACGAGGCTGACGTCTTGTCCGCACCCTTCCCTTGCACTTTGAACCTGGACCCTACCTCCGCACAGCCACAGTAGCTATCACTACAACCGTCGTCACCAAACTTCCTTCGTCCCAACTTCCTACAGCTTCAGCTCCAGAGCTACAGATGGGTAATCTCTGCGGCAAACAGTCAAAAGACAACTTCGCAGGCAATGGGCGCACACTTGAATCTGCGCCTACGCCTGCGACCAGAGCATCTATTCCGAACAACGTTGCACCACCAAAGCCAAAGGTCGGTGGACCTCCACGAACGCTAGGAGATAGCAACAGGCAAGATGATCCGAAAGCTGCGGCTGCGGCTGCTGCAGAGGTACGTACCTATAACCTTCACATCTGACGGAGCAAGAGCAAAGAAAGGGCCGCGCGACTCTTGACCACAATCGCTGACATAGCTCTCAGGCCCGCGCGAACAAGGCTTCATCAGGCGACCTCCAGAAGAAGCTCGATGCACAGAAGCGCCAAACGAACAA